TGATCTTCACAATATAGATATGTGGAAATATGTCATGGCTTGAACAAAGGTGATTTCTTAGGACTTCCCAAAAACAGTTGTTGATGCTCCCAAGCTGGAAAAGGTTACAAAACTATTTCCAAAATGTGTGGACTCCAATAGTCCACTGCCAGGCAGATTGTGTATAAATGGAGGCAATTCAACACTATTGTTACTATCCCCAGGAATAGTTCACCAATCATGATCACACTAGGAATAAGGAGTGTAATAGTCCAGGAGGTCTCAAAAAACCTGAGGTAATATCTAAGAAAGTAAAGGCCTCACTTGCATTGACAAATGTCAGTGTTCCTGAGACCATCATCATGAGAATACTGAATAACGATTTACATGGCAGAATTGCAAGGAGAAAGCCATTACTTTCAGTTAGTGTAAGACCATGTTCGGTCTTATCCAATCTGTGAAACGTACTGGCAATAGTCTCATGATTGGACCTACTTTGCTGCCTTTGGGCCAGGACAATTGATAGAACTATGAATTCTGAATTGTATCAGTAAACTCTTTAGGAAATTGTTAGGATATCTATGAACTGAAGCTCAAGAGAAATGGGTCATGCAGCAAGGCAGTGAACCAAAACACCAGTTGTATAACCCAAGAATTAAAATCAAAGAGCCAGTTTGGTCTAGTGCAGGGGTAGGCAACCTCGGCTCTTTTATGACTCGTGGACTTCAACTCCCAGAATTCCTGAGCCAGCTATGCTGGCTCAGGAATTCTGGGAGTTGAAGTCCAGGAGTCATAAAAGAGCCGAGGTTGCCTACCCCTGGTCTAGTGGTTAAGGCACCAGGGTAGAAAGTGAAAGACAGTGAGTTTGAGTCCCACCTTTAGGCATGAAAACCAGCTGGGTGACCCTGGGCCAGTCACACTCTCAGCAAAACCCACTTCATGTTGTTGTGGGGAAAATAGGAGAGATTGTTATGTATGTACTTCACTTCAGTTATTTATTTGTATTCCACATTTATTATTTTTAAAAATAATAAATTCTAAATTAATTAGAATTCAAGTCCACAAACATAGGCAACATACCTTCCTCCTATGTTCCCCTCAACAACCCTGTGAGGTGAGTTGGGCTTAGAAAGTGAATGGTCCAAGGTCACCCAGCCAGCGTTCATAGCTAAGGTGGGACTAGAACTCAAGTTTCCCTCTTTCTAACATGGTCTCTTAACCACTAAACCAAACTGACTCCTATTATTCATAAAAATAATAAAATAAAAATAAAATACTAATTACAAGAATTAAGATGCTTCTGAACACATGCAGATGACTGGTTTTGTATCCAGTGTATCACTGTTACTGAATATGGAATAATAATTAAGATGGAATTGTTAGTATGAATTATTTTCAGGTTGTGTTTATGATGTAATCTCTTCCCTTTTCCACTTTTCTGATATTATTCTGGAAGGCAGATATGCATCTACAAATCATAACCAGTTCATGAATACTTTTTCTTTTGATTTTAATAGATTACAATGTCTCATGCCTTCAGCTTAGGACAAATTAGTTTCATGACTCTAAGAATCAGTATAGATTTTCTGAATTTTTTTAAAAAAATATTTTTTATTTTTAAATAGGAGAATAGAAATCCAGATGACGCTTTCAAGTTGTGGCTTAAAAGAAAACAGCAGGAACAAATTAAAGAAAAACAGATACAAACCCTGAAAGAGCAAGAAGAGGGTATGTTCTTCCTTCCAAGAACAGTTGAAAATGACAAAGCTTATAAACAGTAAGCATTTTTGTTTTTCATTTTAGGAACCAATATAACATTGTTATTTTAATAAGATCTGGATGTTTTTTCTCCAGGAAGCAGATGAATTTTGGTCCGTTGTCTTCTCTCGTTTTCTCCTGTAAATGTGTATTTTTCTCACTACATTTTGGATCAATTTAGAGAATATATTCGCACAATATGAAATAATACTGCAGTTTGAAAACTTGGATCAATTTAGAAACCATGTTTTTAATACAGTATTATATGTTATGAAGATGTTATGTAACTATAGATTAGTCACTTTTTTCTTTTTGCCTTACAATACTAAATGTTCAAATACGTTGTTTATCAAGTTGATCTGCTTTAAACTGAATGTAGTGATTAAGTGAGGGGTTTGATTCAACACCAAATAACTTTAGATCATAGCCAGTAACAACAGAAATGAAATTTGGTTATTGCTTGATGAGAATAGTTTCAGATTCAACATTTAATCTTTTACCAAAACGCTTGGGCTTATATTTCTCTGTAAGCTACAGCGTGATAATATGCTATGTTAATGAGTAATAAGTTCACTGTCATCAAAAGATTCAAATACTTACTGGTCTCAATATTATGAACTATAGTCCAAATCACAGGTAATTGTCTAATAAGACTTTTAGATGTATTCTGTCCCAGAATGTATCTTTTTAGGGATAGGTTATCTGCTTGTACTACACAAACAGCAAAAATGAAGTGTCGGTTAATATTCAGTTTTAAACATGATTTCATTTCTATGTAGATGGCTAAGGAGGAAGAGACGTGAGAAGCGAGAAGAGCAACTAATTGCTAGAGAACGATCAAAACAGTTTAGGCAAGAAGCCAGAAGAGCAAAGCAAATAGAAAATATTATCCATTCAATTTCTGAACCAAAGTCCCTTCGCTTTACAGATTAATACTGCTGAGATTTAGAGGCCCTGGATGCCTCGTGTGTTCCAGAATATCTTGCATAGCTTTGAGATTGCCTGTTGGAAGTGGTTTCTCTTCTGGAATATTTTGAAGTCCTTCAATAATGGCTTAATTTTCTCTTAGTAATTTTTCCCCATCTTAAACTTGGAATAATTATCTATTTGTGAATAGATTGGGATTGCCTTCTCAGTTCTATAAAACTTACATATAATAAATACTCCTACTGCAAGTATGGTGTATTTTTTTCACATCTGGCATTTGGTTAGAAACCCTACACCATCAATCACAGCTGATGCCAAAATAATAGAACACATTATTTATGTATGTATCAAAGTTTACTGTTCATTCAGGCAGCTGAGCTATTTTAAAGTTCCACTTAATAAAATTTCTATTTTTCTGTTTTATGGGCTTATTACACATTCAGCAGTAGTTATTAAGGACATGCAAATATCTCCCATTTTTCAGAAACACTTTCTACTTATTTTGAAGTA